AGAAAACGAATATGGACATTTGGTCTCAAAGTTGGGGTACTTAATATTCCTGACTTATTTGCTTTTTATAACAATTACAAGATTTGATTTGCCATTTGCAGCAAAACCACATTGGCAAAACTGTGCTAGACTACCCCAAGAAGAAGAAGAAGAAGAACTGTCACCCCAGTGTACACACCTAACTGGAGAAAAAACTCACTACTCAGACTTTTTTCTAATACGATTATTATCTTAAAACTAGTAAAATCTTGTTATATGGCAAACTAAATTCAAGCCAAAAAAACTGTAGAGTTCTTGCTACGGCGCAGTTTATCCAGTGCCATGCGACAAAGAATAGAAACCGCAAAGAGCAGTTACACACATCCCTGGTGTGGTTCAATCTAATGTCTTTTTGACCTCTGTCAAGTCTTTAGCTTAGCTTTTTCAGACAGAAAAGGAGAGGACCACCCACACTTTGCCAATCAACTCAAAGCGTCAAATTGTGACTAACAGGGCTCTTTCTTTTTTTCTCTTAACAAAAAATTGCTTGTTTTTGTATAAGATGAATACAGCATGGTGTTTGTTTATTTTTTTTGGATTGTTTTTGTTAGCTACTGAAATTCATTAGCTATTCTTCCCGGGGGTCTATGCACTCATCAATGTCATGAAAACTTGACAAAAATGTATGTACAAACAAAAAACAGGCTAAAACAACATTTCAGAAATGGTGCAACACAAATACACAGTAACGGTATGTACTACACCCACCCACACTCGCACACACACAGCAACATTAGTAGCAGCAGCAAAATCAATATCAGTGTCAATTTAAACATTTCTACATTAACAAAAATATATTTACATATGATTTTTTTAAATATGTTAGGTACCCAAGCTTTAAGCCAAACGCACATTTGAGTCCAATGATACAACAATGTGTGTGCCTCTTGTGAACTACGTGACACTGTTCAGATTGTTCATTTTCGAGCCAGTTCACATTATTCAAATAACTTGGAGAAGGAGCACTTTTCCTTTTCAGTGCTCCGAATCCACTTCATCTTTGCAGTTTGGGGTCACCAACCCTTCACCTTATAATAGCATTAGCATCTGACTAATCCATGTGGCATTTTGAAAACTGTAGACAGGCAGCCATCATCTTTATGACACCAGTGGCTTAGTCCTTACTGCTCTGTCACTGGAGTTATTTTAAACCCAAAGCTAAACTCATAAACAGCGAATTGGCAACCCGAGAATTCTTCCACTTTTTGACCTCAACGCTAAAGTGACTGAAAAATACTGTATCATGGTAATGGACCAGATCAGGGTCAGTGCAGCTGCAAACATGTTTTGTTATTTTCTTATTTTGTATCAGAAATGGTCCAAAGATGTAGAGTGAAAAAAGTTTGTTCAAGCTTATATGTAAATAGAGGAGTTGCATTGCCTGTATAACTGTTTATTTAAAGTACATAGTTGGACAATAACTTTATAATTCAACCAATGTGCTCAACTGAATCAAGCAGGATTAAAAGATTAATATATAATTGCATTTACAGAAGTTTATTTAAAGCGCAATCATTGTAGTACATTCTAATTCGAGTTCAGATTTGTCTGTATTTTCTCCCGACAGAGAAATTTGTCTTGGTTGCTTGTACAAAAAACTGGGAATAAACTAAAGAACAGAATGACCTTTCGATGGAGCAGCGTAATTACCATCTCCCCAGTATTGCAGATATAGACACTAGCTAATGCTAATTCTACTTGCAAAAAAAAAATCAGCACTGCATAATGGCTAATTCATACGTTGGCCTTGCTTTGAAACTCACTAACGGATAACCTGTAAAGCCTAATTAAAACAAACATACTTTATATAAACCTGATGGATACCGATAGGGAGAAAATGCATTGAAAAACACACCTCTCAGCTCGCTATATATCAGCTATATATTTGATTACAAACGAATAATAAAACTCCATAGAAATCAATTAACATCTTAAACGTTGACATTTATTTGGCCGCTCGCTCGCACCGATTCTTGCACAGGAACGATTAACATTCCCTCAGCTTGACATTTATTTGGCGTCTCGCGCACACACGCCGCTCGCCCCGTACATCCGAGAGTTATAAGTCCTGATCAATGCGACATTCATACAAGAGCGCTACAATCCAACAGCGTAAAAAAAAACAAAAAAATGACACGGCAGTCCTGGCGGCGCCGTAAATTTACCTTGTTTAAACACACACTCCCCGATTCTTGTGGGAAGCAGCACTCACTGCGGTTATTGGAGAGAAAAAAGCGCATGGGTCAATGTATAGAGGAAACTGTTGTGTTTGGAGTGGGCCTTGTGCAGCCCTCCCCTGTGCTTGACTGTATGTGTGTGTGTGTCTGTGTGTGTGTGTGTGTGTGTGTGGGTGTGCGGTAGCAGCCGTACATCTGGAAAGCATTACAACGGCCGGATACTGCCAATTTCTGTTCAATAAGACAACTGTGTAGTGAGTGACTGATAAAATCAAAGCATTTTTCCCACGGGCAAAAAACCCACAGGGCAGATATGTATGAGTAGAATAACAGCAAAGACTTACACTGTGGGAGAGAAGAAGTCCATGTTTTGCTTATAATAATAAATTAACTGCATGTATAGAAAATTGGCTTTCAAAATTTGCTCGGTGAAAGTTCATCTGGACTCAAAGTCATGTTCACAGTTACTTTAGTCATGTTAGTGATACAATCAAAAAGTTAAACTTGACTTAGAAGAAGGACATGAGAACCAAAATGTTGCTATCCTTACTCTAATCTTAACCTGTTCGTGACTTTATTAATTCAAAGAAGGTAATATCAACAAAAAGGTGATTACTCTTCCTTGTTCGGGACCAAATTAGAAGATTTTAGTGAGTACCTGAAGGCAAAGGTAAGTGCACAGTGTTTTTTTTGTTTTTTTTCTGACTTATAGCATGACGATATAAGTGGAGCTGAAGTTGACTGGATGACACTGCAAATGTGCTTCAAGAGCACATACAATGACACAACAAGCCATCATTTGGACATGCTTGGTCTAAATGATGTGCTTTTGGTACAGCGGCTTGAAACGACAAAACACATCATGGCGGGAGAAGAGAAGAAAAAATAATTAAGTTCCAACATTGATTTATTCGGAGACAATATTGGTCAACGTACAGTATTTTGTTATAGGAGTCATTGACACATTTGTTTCTAATATTGTGTTTCCAAGCCAAACTTTTTTCCTGGTGTTTCTCTACAGAATTTCAACATACAAAGACAGGATTAAAACAGTTTTGTATCCAGTTTTTCTTTTTATCTGTTTTTAATGGCCAGTATGGTCACGGGTTGGTAACCATGGCATCAAGACAAATATATTTCTGGACTGTGGTTTGTGTGACCAGTTCTTTGTCTGCAGTCTGTGGGAACGTGTGGGAGGGAGTAATTACCGGGTCACATGAAAGTAAGTACAGGACAAAATTATTGGTTAAAGATTTGCAAATATACAGCTTTATATTGCTCACAGTGCCTGGAATATAACCCTGGTTTGTGAAATCGACCGTAACAGCACCCACGTTTACCTAACCTAACTTTAAAACCACAGAAATGTAAGTTGTAATATAATCCGTCTAACTAATGCTGTTTTGTAGCTGTATTTTGCTTTTAACGTTGTACCTTTTGTAATGCGACCTTGAGTGCCCAGAAAGGCACCATGTAAATAGAATAATTGATTTGTATTTATTGGGTAGAAAATGGATGGATGGATGGATGAATGTAGTTTTCATATGCATGTTTTTCAAAAATCTCTATCACACCTTTAGATCAACTTTTTCAGACAGAAACGTGGAAAAAGAATGGATCAATCAGCTCTCAGCCAACAGTGTCAAATAGTGACTCAAAGGGCTTTTTTTACTTTATTTGTAACAATAATATTTATAAACAAAATATCCATTCATCCATTTTCTTCCCTTTAATCCACTTCTGGGGGGAAGGGGGTTGTCAGTCAGAGTTGCACCCAGTACACAGAGCACCAGCCAGATCCTTGATCTTTCAGTGGGGGCTTCAGGCAAAGTGGGGTTAAGTGTCTTGCCCAAGGACGAAATCAGACATCAGTGGGAGTCGTGAAGTAAGTCTTGTGGTGGGCTGGAACTCACAACCTCCAGGCTCAAAGGCCAACGCTCCACCAACTGAGCCACTGTCGCCCTAAACAAAGTGCTTACATTAATTATTGCGGTGAAATATGGAAAATAAATTGATTACTATCGCTGTTTTCTATGTGCATCAATAAGACAGTGATCGTGACGATGAGGATGATGATGATGATAATGGTAAAAATCAGGAATGTCATATTGAAAATTTGAATCTTTTTGCAGTCGATTGAATTTAGTATTGATAATGGGAAAGACACATATACTATTTTTGCTTCTGCTTTTCTCCTTTTGAGCTTTGTTTCTTGAAATTATGTGTACCTGTAAATAACACATTGTAAAACTGCTCAAATATACTACTACTACTACTACTACTTAACTGTGTACCAAATCAAATGTTTTTCTAATAATATGAAGGCAGTGTGTTTTAGATTGCTTTGGTTTCTGTTGGGATAGCCACACTATATTATTTATGAACAGAAAAGTTAGCATACCCTGGCTTTAATTCTGGTCAACAGAAAGATATATTAGTGGAAGGAAGAGCACCTGTTTTTCTTCCAGGGCTCCAGTAAAAAAGCCACATACATTGTGTATACATTTCCTTGTTACGTTTTATGTAAAACTAAATTCACTACAACATCGACCGATACAAACCCCACTCTAAATATTTGACTTCTTTCACAATTTAAAGTTTGTTGAAGCAATTTAAACTTTCTGGAAAGATTGATTCGCTTGCAGAGAGGTACGCCTGTAGTGTAGTGGTATAATTGCGTGGGCCTTCTCAAATGAAAGATTTTAATAAATGATTGACTTTTTGCATTCATGAAAACGAGCGACAAGTGAACCTTCACCGAGACGAGATGCGCAGTTCAAGGAGATGTTTGAAGATTACAACGTGTCTGGTATGTGGGTGTGAACGCGATGAAGCGAACACGATAGTTCAGCAGACAACAAAGGGGGAGATGGGAAACAGAACTATTATTGACTGACAGTCTTAATAATAGTTTTTTTTTTGCACTTGGCTAATTTGTTACTAGTAGGATTGTTTGTACTGGTGAGGATAAGTTAAGCAGCTGAGAAAGTGGCAGTATGTTTTAGTTAAGAATATTGTGAATTATGCATTAATGTATTATCGGATTGGATAACATTGTAAGTAAGTAAGTAGGTAATCAGAATCACAATCATTTTTATTGCCAAGTAAGTAAAAGGAAGTCACATACTAGGAAATTGCTTTGGCTCGGTGAAACAGTCAAAGAAGAGAGGTGAAGAATAGATTAAGGAAAAAACAAAAATCTTTATCTATATAGCGTCTTTCACAGAACAGAGTCACAAAGAGCTTGTTGTGGGCATTCGTCCCCTCACTCCACACAGAGATGGAGAGAACATGCAAACTCCATACAGAAAGGTCTGGAATTGGAATCGAACCCAGGACCTTCTTACTATGAGGCACAAGCGCTAACCACCACTTATAGTATATAGTATCCAACCATCCCTCCATTTTTCTTCCGCTTCATCCATTGCCGGGTCGCGATCTACTATCTTGAACTAAAACATACCTGTTTGGGGCATCTCACTTGGTTTCAGGCGATTTTACCATCAAACTCCATCTCAACCATTTGGTATAAAGGCCTATAATTAAAAAAGTAAGACAATTTATGCTGTTTTTACATTAAGAATTTAATTACATTGCTTTCTTCAAGGAGTGCATTTTGTCAAGATTTGGAATTGATATCAGATAATCTTTGTGAGTTGGGTTTTCCAGCGCAATTACCATTCCTGCTGATCTCATATCTGTGCTCCAGCTCCTCCAGATGGCACTGGGGAGCGTTCTTTACAGAGGGAGGACAGTCCCTGGGCTTGCTTCTGGACATGCCCGTGTACTCTCTCCAGGGAGGCTCTCACAGGCATTCACAAACCAACCACTTCTCCCTGAGCGTGATGGAGCTCTGCGATCTCAGCTTCTCTTCTGTAATGGAGTGTGCCCATTGCCCTGCAGAGAAAACTCATTACGGACACCAAGAACCTGCGTGACCCTCAGACCAAGACCACAGTGAAATCCCTGTGCGCATAACCTTAGATCGTCCACCTTTTATATAACCAGATAATGATAGTTCTTTACCAGCTGCCTACTGCTTCGGTCGCTTTTGTGCTATACTTGACTTTCATGGGAACTTTGGTCATAGTTTCACTGTATGCACTTCAAGCAGTAATATCAGTCCTAATAGTACACAAACAAAGACTCCATCAGACTCTACGTGTGTCCCTCAATGACCTCCAAGACATGGAAGTCACAACATGTATGTGATTACTCAGACTCTGAGGAGCACAGGGACTGGCATCCTGCTGGAGCCCAGAGTCAGAATTAAACATGGGGAGGCAGCATTTAGTCTTCCTGAAAATGTGAGACAGCCTTCTATTATGACAACAATAAAAATAATAACAATAATAACACAAGTTGACAGCCAAAAAATGGTCAGAGGTTTCTCAACTGATTTAGACTTGGTGTTCTGAGTCCGAATATCACATGCATTTTGCTCTATCAGGTCAATTTTTTGAGATACAGCCATAGTGTTACGGATTATGTACGTCTACGTTATTATGAATTCTGCTCATAAAATTTGATGGAGTAAATAAAAACTGAATGACTTTGGATACGTTGACTTTTATTTCTTGAGGAAAACGGAAAAAACGTCAAGGGTTTCTCAGCTGATGATCCGCAGAAATTTGTTTTTTATGCAAAATCGATTTTAAAAAATATTTCTTTAGCAAAAAATCCTGACCTGATTGAGAAAAACCAAGGTCATTGTCGGACTCAGAGCATCAAAATTAGTCTAATTCAGCTGGAAAACCCTGGACTATTTTCAAAAAATATTTTTTTGTTACCCTGTGTAATAACATAAGAGGAAGAAGGTCTTTCATTCATCCCACAGTGGGGAACTTTCAGTCTGATGAATACACATCAAGGCATACAGCGAACATTACTTCCACGCTCCTTATAGGCAAAGTGGGTTAAGTGTCTTGCCCAAGGACACAACGACAGCAGACATCAGTGGAGTCGGTGGAGAAGGTCTCGCGGTGGGCTCAAACCCACGGCCTTCAGGCTCATAGGCCAATGCTCTACCAACTGAGCCACTGTATATTATTATAATAGTAATGTAGTGTAATATAATGTAATACATAAATTATTCTAGACTCAAGGTCCATATACAAGACAATAAAAGATACCATAAGACACAGACAACAACATAAAAAAGTCAAATGACTCTTTTCCAATCCAGGATAGATCCAGATCAAATCCAGGACAATGTTAAAATCCAGGTTAAAAACTGTTCTGTTTAGCTTTGCATATAACTGAATGATTTTATCTTTACTCTTTTGAATGTACTGTGATTGTTTATCATTTCTTCATCTTGTTGATTTTGAGTTCTCTTGTGTATGACCTGTGCTATACAAATAAACTTGCCTTGTCCTACACCACTTCAATGACGCACTTTTATGCGCATTGACCTCTCATTCTCGAGAACATTTTTCAATACTCTTGAACGAGAAACTTCCACTGCTCCAAATGATGCTATTTGTTTGACCATGAAAATGTCATTATCATCCAATTACATTCTACTTCTTTAGGAGCGGAGAATACCAACCAGTCATGACCAAAACTTAATGTACAATCGTATTCTTTATGTGTCCAATATGGGAACAAATAACACAATTTCCTCTCTACAGTGAGCTTACACATCTCAGTTAATTCTGAAATGATAAATTTGGGTCTGAGATACGGCCGAGTTGAAACCGAAGTCGGGGTTTGAAGACAAATAGCTTCAATTTACAGTAGCAAATTAAAAGCCTTATCGGGAGCAGTCAGAGCGTATTTCAATTTCCCTTTACATTAAAGAATTCCCGCTAAAAGTCCTCTCCGGAAAATGGATGTGCAGTGACAGAAACTCTGAGAGAAAGCATGAATATCAAAAGCAGATTCAAGCGAGAGCTGGATCCTTGCTGCCATTTTGTTCATATGCATTTGTTCAGGCAGGTTATAGGTGTGCGCACATATATCCTCCCTTCTTTCTCTCCCAATGATTTAAAGTTCCTACCCCTGAATCCTATTACACATCCACACTCAAGGCTCTTAACGTGGATAAATAATTGATGCCTCAGTTAAAGTGTCAAGTAGCTGCTATGCCCAGCACTTCTTTATGGGAGCTGCATCATTCATAACGCCTTATACAGTCCACTAGTCCTTTGTTTCCACAGCCAATCATTACCGTTTGCTTTTCACAATTAAATCAGCGCGAGGTGGTTCGCTTGATCCTAGCCGACATACAAAAGGAAATAGTGGCTGTAACTGTATTGACAAATTGCATTAGGGAAATCATTTTTTTTTGTACAGGGCGATGACATAACATGCTTGGTATAGCAAATGCATCCAAGTGTTGCAACTTAGACAGGGCCAGATTGCCACACAAGCCGTGGAAAAATCCTGATGCATGCTTATTTTTCTTTCAAACAGCTGTTATTTTGAGCTTAATGCAGCAAACTGTTGACTTGCTGCAAAATATAATGCAATCAGTCCAGGCTCCTTAAGGGTATAAAACGTTATTGATTGGACGTTTGTGAATCTACACCGTGTCAGCAAAAAAATAATAATGGTTGCTGCTATCTGGCGCACCGCTGTGAGTGGTTGTGGTGATGATGTGACGAACCGGGCGCGGGCTTTTGGTGGGATTTTGGCTTCGGCCGAGAAGAGCTGGAAACGCACAACCACAGGTGCAGCTAATGGGAGTGAGGGGAGAGTTGGCGATGAGCTACTGGCTGGCGGCACGGAGAACAAAGAAGTGTGATGGCCTGCTGCTTCCCCTCGCCAAAGATAGTAACATTAGTAAGTTGGAAGAAAATATAAGTTTTTTTTTGTTTTTTTTATAGGAATATCCGGTATTTTTGTGCATTTGTGATTCATTTATATAAAATACATTAAAGGCTAGGTACTATATTTACTTTACTCTCATATTGCTGTCATGTGTTTTGTTGGCAGGTATTGTAAGGCTTTGATTCTTTTCTCTTTGGTTTTTTTTGTATTGCATTGTATGTGTTTGAATGGGGCAAAGAGGATTGGATAAAATAAGTTTTTCGCTTCGACCAATCCCTTTTCATACCATGCACATTTTGCATAGAAACTCCCGAATGACTTTAGTGTTAAACTACTATTGTTTATCACATGTTGTAATATAGTGAATCTAATATGTATATTGAATTTTTCTGTAAAGTGTACTCTTTGTCCCTATTTTTTCTTTTTTTTTACCGAGTCTGTGAATTGAATGTGTTTTAACAGATGTTCAAATTAATAAATAAATACATATAAACTGGTAGATTTTTGTGTTCATACATAATACATACTGTTAGTCCCAACATAAATAGTCTCATTAAAGTAAAATTGTGTTAACGCATTAAACTACAAAACAAGATCACAACACACAAAGACTTGACAGAGGCCAAACATTCAGAATCAAATATTATTGAATCATGAAATACTTACAAAAACATTACTTAATGAAATGTTGTGGTAACAAATACTATATTTTTTCACATCTGGTTGCTGTGGGGAAGTTCCATGCTCCACTTTAAAATTGTTCTCATGCATTCTTTCAAAGGAATTCTGTATCTGATGAACTGATGACAAAAACTAAATTCATTGTAACAGCTGTCGGCATCTGTCTCCAGCCAGACCTCTTCCCATCCAAGATGAAACAAAGGGAGGGGAAAATGGGACAGTACAATATTTATAATGCACAATCTGGACACCAGTAAACGACTAAGGGGCTGGGGATCTAACACAGATTTACAAATATATAAAAAGAACAGCGCTGTTTGAAGGCTATCACAATGATTACAAACTCACAAGTTTCATTGGAATCTTTTGAGTTAACAGTTGACGCAGAATAGAATAGTTATTTATTGAGCAGAGATTTGTCTTTCAACACGGCACAATTCAGAATCATTCATAAAACAGACATAAAATACATTTAGCAAACAGTTCATAATCTATGCAGTGCTACCGGTTGTTTAGAGCAGTGACTGCAGATGGGACAAATGATAGCTTGTAGAGGTTTTTTCGGGCCAGAGAAATGGCTGGGATGATTGAACACTGAATAATGCACTGATCTACATGATGTTCATACAAGCAAAAGAACTACAAAACCTCATTTGCATTCGATGAGAATCTATGGAGCAAGTTTTAAAGGTTAAATGTGCATCTCTGTATTCAAACTTGTGTTGGCCTGGATCCAATGTGTTCTATAAAGTAGCAGTTATATAAGATAGATGTTTTTTTTGTAAATTAGTCACAGTTAAACGTTGATTTTAAAGAGAGTGGAAGCTGTAGCATGGCATTGATCATATTTATCAAAAGTATCTGTGGTGCCACTTTGATCCTGTCAGACCTGAAGCTAAGCAGGACAGGGTCTGATCAGTACTGTGATGAGAGACCTCTGGGAACACCAGGTGCCACAGTGGGGTGGCTGTGAGGTGCCCAATTTTCATTGTGTTCATGGGCAAGACACCCTAACCCCACCCCGCAGTGCCGAGAATCAGTCTGACGCATACGTGATAGAGATACTTGTTTCCTTGCTTTTGTCAGTGTGCTCCAGGGCAACTGTGGCTACGGTAGAAGTGTATCACCACCGTGTATGGAGTGACTCATTAATGACACGTGAAGCGTCTTTGAAGGTCCATGAAGCAGTATATAAAACCAATGCATTCATTTATTTGAATACGCATTTCACTTCTATGAGATTTTCATTCAAAAACATACAATGAATACAATGTTGCATTGCACTGAAATTAATTTTATAGAATACACTTTCTTAAGATTCATGATTAAATTATGATGTCTTGTAGGAAATATGTCTTGGACTCAAAGGCTGCTACATTGAAAATACACATCAGACATAAGACACAACACAGTAACACATGCATAAACCATCACCGCTCTGCTCCATGGCCTGCATTCAGAAGGTTCCCAGATATAGATCGGA